AAATTTGAATGCGTTTAAAGAAAAGGGTTTGAAAATACGGTATTGCTTCAATAATTCTGAATGCAATTAACATAACTTTCTCCTTTTAAATATAATTTCGAACAAAAATCGTTATGATGGTTAATATCTTGTGTAAAGGTGATTTAAATAAAGTTTACAATGCAATTCCATTTGGTTAATATTTTTATTAAAAACTTTTAATTTAGATGACTGGGTTAAAGATTTATATTCTGTGAGCATGTAATATGAAATAAATAAAAATGTAAATATAGAAATTTCATGTGAATATGTGTATGTATATATTGATTATTTATATCCATAAATGATCAATCAATTAAGCATTGAAAATTTCTTTGCTTACAAATTCTGATAAATTTTTTGACGAAAGCTACATGCTTTGTTTTGTGAAAATTTTGTGGAGACTTCTCCACTTGGATTTATCTCGCATGTGCTCCCAGACCACTTAACAGTATATTGAGCGTGCGCGCGCTTTTCAATAAAAAGTGTCTAAAAACACATACAAGCTCCCAATGGTGCTGGGAAATAAAAAAGTCGTTCATGTAAATAAATAATTTAAAAAAAATACAACATATAAAAATGTTTATTAGTCTTTATCTAAGTATAACACAGTATTTTTAGAAATCGTTGGTTAGTCTTTGCTTCAAAATTTCCTGTTCAGAATGAAGAGCCGACTATGAACAAGCCATAAAGACATGAATATATCATGATTTTCTCAGGCAATGACCATTTTGGTCAAACGTGGAACTAGAACTAGACTCATACATGAATTCATGTCATAAAAATAGATAATTATCAATTCCGTGTAGCTGGTTTCCTAGAGGTCCAGAAATAAAGAATATTTTTCACTGATAAATACAGGCATGTAGATCGTTTTTAAAGAAGAAAAAAAAGGAAAACTGCCCTATTCCTTGCGAGAAGGGGTAGGGTTGGGTTCCAACTTACGTTCACATTTCGAATTTTATTAATACATTACCAAATTACCGTAATTTTAATATGCTACAGCAAAATGAAGGGTACAATCTAATTAACGATAGACCATCCATTTTGCTTTTAGTAAACCTGTCAGTCGCTCGTGACAAATACCCGGTAAATTTACGAAGAGTGAGATAAGAAGTCTAATTTAAATTCGATTGCAAAGAGTCAATCAACCTTTCAATGTTCATTTTCCGTTGTAAAAGTTTATGTTTGAAAAATGGTGACGCCCATAGCTCCCCCCGATACTATGTGCCTGTATTGATCAGCAAAACCACTCAAAGTGCACTGTCACCATGTATACCCATTGTGAGCTTAATTTTCAGAAAGGTATAAATGTATTTTCATTAAAAATATGACCAACTAAGTCCTATCTTGATTCTAAACCGTTGGGTTCTGGACCATTAATTTTAATATTGGTAGATGGGTTATTGTTAATCATAATCCTACAAACTCTACCTGTAAAATATCAATGGCCAGAAAGAAAGATTTTTAAATGTGTACTAATTTCGGAATAGATAATATACTCGAATAATTAAAGCCCGGCTTTCAGTACTTTCAGTACTTTGATTATATTATTTTATCCTTTGCTACATGAGAATTTTTTTATTAACCTCTTCCCGGACTCGGGGGATCACGGTTTGAACAATTTTAATCTACACTGCATTAAAACGCTGTCATGCTGGAATATAGACACATTGACAATTTGTATCCACGTACATGTAGTTCTTTTGAATATATTTTAAGCTATTTTTATGCCCTTGGATCGAAAGATCCCGGGGGTATATTGTTTTTGTCCTGTCTGTCTGTTTGTCCGTTTGTCTGTTTGTCTGTCTGTTGTCAACTTTAACCTTGCCCATAACTTTTGATTGGTTAGAGCTATGACGTTCATATTTCACATGTGTATTCCTTGTGACAAGACCTTTCTTTGGGTACCATCATATTTGACCTTTTGACCTTGACGTCTGACCCACTTTTGCAAAATTTTATGAGACTTTAACCTTGGCTATAACTTCTGAACAGTTGGTGCATGGGGTTTCAAACTTCACATGTGTATTCTTTGTTACAAGGGCTTCCTAGGGATACCAACAACTTTCAATTGACCTTTTGATCTTGAAGTTTGGCCTACTTTTGAGAAACTTTAACCTTGGCCATAACTTTTGAACAGTTGGTGCTTGGGGTTTCAAACTTCACAGGTGTATTCCTTGTGACAAGACCTTTCTCTGGATATCAACCTCTTTGACCCTTTGACCTTGACCTAGGAGTTTGACCTACTTTCTAAAAACTATAACCTTGGTCATAACTTTTGAATGGCTGGTGCTAGGGCTTTCATACTTCACTTATGTAATCCTTGTGACAAGACCTTCCTTTGGATACCAACAACTTTGAACTTGGCCTTGACGTTTTATTTACTTTTAAAAAACTTTAACCTTCACCATAACTTTTGAACAGTTGCAGCTAGGGCTTCAAATTTCAAATGTAGATTCCTCGAGACAAGACCTTTCTTTGGGTACCAACATTTTTTATCTTTTGGCCTGGATCTTGACTTGCATTTGAGAAACTTTAACCTTTGCCATAAACTGCCATACGGGGGCATCAGTGTTTCACAAACAAATCTTGTTTTCTATGTAAAAATTTGACCCCTCTTGATGACCCATTCCTGCCTCAGGGTTATGGTTTTTAATAAACTTGAATCTACATAAAATTTAAAGACAATTCTAAGCCCTGAAATTCTTAAAAGCCAATTTTTTTTTATAAAAGATTTTTCCCAAACATTTATTGCCTTGGAATCCTATGGAATGGCCTAATCCCTTCCTCGGGGCCATGGTTGAATCTTTTTAACCCATAAGTTTGACAATTTGTTATTCTTGGAAACATTTTTAACATTCGTCCTAATCATTTCTATGTATACCTATGGAACCCTTTTGTGGCCAAACCCTAGCCCCATTGCCACACCTTAAAGAAATAAATTTTGCCAATTTATATTCTTTCAGGTTTCAAAAGATTTTTTAAAATTTTCATACATTTCAACATAAAACTACTTTTTTGCATCCGACGAGGTTTCTTGCATATATAAATTTCAGATCTAGAATTTGTAGCCTTGGAGTTCTTGAAAATATCTTTATATTTTTTTTATTAATATGCATTTCCATGTAAAACTGTTTTTAAAACTTTCCCCCCATCTCTGACCAAGGGCTATGCTTTAACTGCACAAACTTGAATCTTCATTATATGATGAAGCTTGTACATGTATACGAGTTTCGTCATTTTTTTTAAATCACCTACCCTATTTTTACATTTTTAAATCTTTTAAAACTCCTTGCACAGAAAAGGCTATAGCCCTTAATTTGAACAAATAATTATTCTGATGACCCAGGGTCGGTTTGACGCAATTTTTGATGCTTGGAAAAGAAGTTAAAAATTTGAAAAGTTAACGGACGACTAACATTGGACACTGAACGATGACAGCAGAGAGCAATCGATTATATTCACTCAAAAGACACATGTATACCCAAAGAAATCAAAATTTACAAACATGTGTATTTTTATCCCATGTAATTTTTTCTTTCAATGTAATGTCATTCAAAAGCTTGGAATTTTCACAATTAAATATCACCCCTGAACGTTTCCTCTTCATTCTAAGACTCTTTTTAATATCTCTTTTAGTAAGGAACGGCAAATAGTAGAGATAAAATATAGACTTCAGACAGGTAATTATTGTTTTTATCTTTTCTGTCTGGCATAGTCGTCTCGTAAAACTTTTTCCACATGTATTTCTAGGAATAATTCTGTAATAATATCCATGGTGAAACTAGGTAGTCATTAATTATTTGTGTCTCATTCTCAGCAAAATCTGAAGCCAGGAGTACAGAGAAACTGCTGGAAGTTGTGAATAATTGATAAACACCAATTTAATCACGTTTATAGTTTATTGACACGATGTAACTTATGTATCATCACTCCAAGTGCCTATATGAAATCGCTCGGTGGCTTAATTTGTCGATGCACTTACTAATAATGGAACAAAACCCAGGCAGGCCGTCAACCAATTTCGGCACATTCCAAAAACAATAGAGATGATTAATAATTTATTCCCCATTAAAGATATGAAGATATAGCTATATAAAATGGTGAATTCGATCTTTGTTCACATCTCCTATAAATAAATTATTCTGAGTTTGTGTCCTGTGTAATTTACCTTTCACACATTTTGCTAAAACTATTTTGATAAATCATAGAACTGCACTCCGATGAATTCAAGATTCAAGACTTAGACTGATCCACTAGGAAGGTTCGACACTAACACTGACCCAGTAGCTATTCGACACTAACCCTGACCCACTAGCTAAATTCGACACTTACACCTAGCCACTAGCAAGGTTAGACACTTATATTATACTGACCCACTAGCTAGGTTCGACACTAACACCTATCCAAAAGCTAAGTTCGACATTTCACTGATCCATTAGCAAAGTTCGACACTAACACTGACCCATTAGCCAGGTTCGACACTTGTATTATACTGACCCACTATCTAGGCTCCACACTTACACTGACCAACTAACTAGGTTCTACACTTAAACTGACTCACTAGCCCGTGTTTTGCATGATAGATTTATAATCAAAGAGATTTTGTGTTAATGATCTCATATGTCATACTACATGTTATTATATTCTTAACACATATTAACTCTTGTGCAATTTACATTCAAAGTGTAATCTTTATTTTTGATGGAGTGTTACAATCAGTACACAGTAGTTATAAAATTGTGATGAATTGATGTATGTTTTTCCCATTCCTATGAAACCCTTAAGCACTTTCCCCACTTTCTGCGCTTTACGTCTCAAACATGAAGAAGAAGTTTGACTAAAATGAATGTCAAACCCGTTGAATTAAAAAAAAAAACACTATATATGTAGGTTATAAAAATGATTTTATCACACTGAAAAATTCTAGACCATTTATAGCAAAATAGCAAAAACATTGAATTATTAGTAAGCATGCAGATTTTTACAAATATGAGACTATTACATACAAGTGTAAAAAGATACATTAGACAATTTGTTCCCGTTAAACAGAGACAGGGTGAAAGGAGTCAAATAGAATATTCATATTTGTTAGGTCATGGGTGAATGATATGTGCAGTAAAATCATGAACGTTAGTGTATAATTGTCCGCACATATTGCACTGCCATGGGTTGTTTACATTGTGGAGACCCTTATGTAGGTAAAACGTCGTACGATTCAGGAAAATGATGTCACAAAACCTACAGAAATATACTGGCTTGTCAATGAGTTTCAGTAGTTCTTGCGGGTTATTAAATTCTTCGGTTGCAATAACTGTCTGCTTCTTAGCCGGGAGTTCATCAACGGGGACTGCCCTTTCGCTCTCGGAACGTATTGCGTCTTTTGGTCTTGATAAATTGGTCGGAGTTTCCGGTATAAATTTGTCGTCCGAGCAGCAGTCTATTTCTATGGATCCATCACTAAACAGGTACTCATAATTTTTTTCCATTCCTTCTACAGAGGCCGGGCGATGAAGATCTTCTTTAAACGTGTTTCTCATGTCTGGGACGCTGGCACTTCTCTGCATATGGAAAGCGATTTGGGGGGACTTTTGTATTTTCCCTGCGGTCTCGTCTTTTCCCTTTGAAAACATTTTGTGTTTTTCCTCTTCATAGCGATCTTTTTTCTCATTTTTCTGCTGACTAACGTGTGACAGTAGACTCTCTTTACCTGTTACCAAGTTCAGGGGTGATTCCGCGAGTTCTTTCGTAGAATTCAATTCTTTCGATGCCTCCCAAAAAGTTAACTGTGTAGGTGGCATTATTATTGGAGAGTGCTCTCTCCTCTCTTTTGCATTTACTTCGGATAAAGTGTGGTTTAATATATGCATGGCCAAAGAATCGTGATCTACAAATTCTATTTTACAGTACTCACAACAAAGCCTTTTGTTTTCCTGCTTTTTGAGTTGATTTTCCTCTGTTGAGCTTTGAATCAAGCGGACAAACGAAGGAGGGACGCCCGTGGCTAGCGGGTTTGGTTTGTCGTCGATATTTCGATTTTGATTAGGAGAGTTAGAGGTCTGTCCATTGGTATGGTGTGACATGACATGCATCGCAAGGGCATCTTTATCTGAGAAAATCTCATGACACATTAGACATTTCCTTGGGTCTTTTAACAGCAGTGTCATATTTTGCTTGCAGAATCTTTCGACGGAGTGTTGCAGTAAGGATTGCAAATACTCATCTTTTTCCGTAGCATTTGTAACGTCAATGTAAGACGCTTTATTTAAATCAGGTGTCAAAATGTCACTTTTTGTAGACATGTTTTCTTCTTTGACTCGTTTTTCTCCGTTAGATTTGTCCATTTCTGTTATTTTTCTCCACTGTTCTTTATCACCCTTGTGAATTTCATTTTGATCTTTGCAGGCGTCATTTTTCACGCGCATCATCACGTGCATGGCGTACGAGTCCCTGTTTGAGAAAATCCTATCACAGCAATCGCATTTAAATGCAGATTGAAAAATCTGGCTTACAGAACTGGCACTCAGAGAACTGGCAAAAAAGCGTTGTAAATTGTTATTGGCGATAGATTCATTTATGCTTTTCTGAATCGCGCTTAGACCGGCATTATCCGCATGACAATTTGTGTGGCTGAAAAAATCCTTCAAGGTACGAAATCTTGCGAAACATATCTGGCATGTGTGCCGCGCAAAACGAGTTGAATTCCGTCTTCCTGTATTACTCTTGCTTTTATGAACTAAAGTTATGTGACATAGTCTATCCTCTTCGCTTGAAAATTTCTCTTCACAAAGTGAACAACTGTATACTTTCTCGCCGCTGGCATTGCTTCCTCTTGGCATTACATCACTGAGGCTACTGTGCGAGTACAAGTCCGAGGTACTATAGCGTTCCCTTTTCCTGGCATATTGTTCAACATCTGATGACTTCCGTTTTAAACTATCAAAAACCGAATTTTCTTCGCTGGAATAACTTCCGTTTCTGTAAGCAGACTTCGCATTTGCTAAAAGAGAAGGGCTTGTCTCCAATATGTCCACGGGTTCTTGCTTTATCTTCCGAAGCATACTGATGGAAATAAACTCAAACTTTTTCTTTCAGTCTTTCTTCGAAGTTTACACGATGGAAAGTGCAGCGCTAAAAAAGCCCATCTAATTCAGCAGAAAGATATCCGTACAATATATATGGATTACATTAGAGCGCAAACTCCGCATTCATTAATTATTTACATGTACTCCTTTTTCTATTGTGAATAATTAGTATGGTTGAATTCTTAATAAGTGTGGCCCGTTGAAGGTTATTTCAAATCGCCTATTGGTCCCTGAATTATAAATGAGCCGATCTGACTCTGTCTTTGATATCTGGGCTGCCGCCACATTGAATCTCGAGACAACATGCTTTACGCTGCAATATTCTCTGAAATCTATTATTCATGGGTTTTTTTTTTCTCTTTATCAAATTAGAAGCAGTTTAATTATTTATCCAGAGCAATATACTTGATAGTTAATGTAAATGGGATTAATCTCATCATAATAAGTGAAAGGGGAAAAAAATTTATAATTCCCTGCGTATTGAGACGTATAGATAAGTTCCCTTCAGGAGAGAAAGAAATCAATGGACATATTTACATATTCTTTAAAAGAAGAAAATAATTTTATCGTCTTAAAATAATCATTAACGGCTTCAACCAATCAGCGGAAAACGAGTTTGATAAATATTTGACAAGTCTCGCCATGACACAGAAATATTGATAAAAACCTGCATAAGGTGTTTTTCCTTTGCAGCTAGTAGTAAATGTATTGATATCCAAGCTTGAAGCTGATATGTGTAATTATATATTCTTTTCCCCTATCAGGTGACTAACGAAAAAAGCTAGAATTTAGACAATTTTAATGAAAGCATTATTTATTCATCATCAACCACAGGTGGAATTTGTCAAATGTTCAAATTTTTCTTGAAATATTTTTTGATCCCATTTGATTTTTCCTTATTGACAGTACAGAATTTTATGTGAATGAATAAGATTATTATTTTTATTTAGGGAGAGAGAGAGAGAAAAAAAAAACATATGTATTTGAGTGAAAAATACCCCGTCATGTACAATTACAAAGCATCTTATTTTAAGGTATTACATGTAAGTAATTCCACAGGTAGTTCACACTAAATTGAATTTTTATTTGCATTGCTGTTTAAAAATAATCATTATTTCTAAAACTTGGTTTGTGTATAATAAAGTGCAAATAAGTTGAAATACTGTCTTTACGAACATACATGTAAGTACAGGTATATGAAACTAAAACGGCTGGCAGGCTCCGCTTAGAACAAAGTTTACTGCAGTAATGCTTTAATAGGTGTTTGTGTAAAGGACGCAGAATAGTAAGCAAAATGGAAGAGATTGTGAACCATGCTTCATATTATTCACACCTGAATATCAAACATCTTCAGCATGATCAGCGGTGTTAGATTGTTTCTTTCTTTTATATTAATAATATTGTTGAAATATGATAATGTTGTATTAGAACGTACGATCTACCAGCTGGTCAAAAAAACTTAAGATTTCAAACTGATAGAATCGTGGGTATTCTCGTTTAATATTTTTATTACATTTTCAACGGTGAAAAACTGTAATTTATTAAAAATTCATTTTATTTTTAACACTGTGAAAATAACAAACGGAACTACATGTACTAAACTATTTGGTCACAAAGGAAACCCGAAGAAAATTTAATGCATAAAATATGCACAAATTTGTTGTTGAATACGGAATTTATTTCACTCTTGAGACAAAATCCCTGCCCCACTCGTGAAATAAAATTCCATGTTCAACTACAAAACATTGAATATATCCTCTATAAATTCATTTCCTTTCTGATAATTTTCCTGACTGGTTTATTTAAATTTTGGCCTTGGAAGAAATAACATTGTTTTAAACAAGTCCTATATTAAAATTTGAATGTAACAATATTAATTTATTCTTTAATTTTTTTTCTCTCTTCATTTTCATATTTTTCTTCGATTATAATGGCTTATTTATTTTCCATCTCATAATTTTTGCAAGCCTATAGGTTGCATGCAAATAAAATGTTTCAATCGATTCAACTCGGAAAAAAAGAAAATCACATATTTATAAAAGCTAGCTTATTTCTGGCATTTAAACCATTATGAGAAAAAAAATACTTCTACATGTATGCATGCAACTTTAATACTTTTTGCTTTTAATTCAATTTTGCGTTTTAAAAAAATCGATAGCAGTAATTACAAACCTAAGTTAAACACTAATGAAAAATATATCAGGAATGAAACAATTATTAAAACCCTACCATATTGCATCATGTATCATTTTGTGAAAATGTCACAAATTTCAAGCTGTCAACATTTATCTATGTTAAGGCAATAACACCATTGCATTTTGTTTTTCTTTTAGCGAATGTCAGAGAGGGGAAGGGGTGTAGGTTGTACGTATAGAGAGAGAGAGAGAGAGAGAGACGACTTTAATATTCAGTCGGTCCACCTTGAAGAAATTATGTACAAAATAAAAACATCTCCATATCGGAATATATAAATTATATTGCATATATATAAATTCCAGTCGATAAAGTTCTGATCGACATCTTTTCTGATCGATAGTTGACTTTTGTCCAACTTAACCAAAAAAAAAAAAATGCTTCTTGATGACTTTGTGAAGTTTCGTAATGTGTCACAAACTACAAAAGAAAAGACCTGTCTTTATAGTGTCTATTTGATTTTAAATGAAACAATCTCTGTTTCAATAAAATGCATTTTATATTGCCTTAAATGACTAAGAATTAATGAAAAATCAAATAAGCTGTCACTCATTGTGTGAGTTGTGTAAAATTTTGTTGACATATTTATTATGCAATCAAGAACTAACCAAAGATCAAAGACAAAAACAAAACACATACCCAAAAAAAAAAGCCCGAAAGCAAAATCGGAAAGTCATGATTAAGCAGGCAGGAAAACAATATTAGTACTTTAAAGCTCATAGGGGGTTTTGACATGTAGTATTTGCATTACATGTATTTTGATCTGTCAATGTACACTGTGTACTGCTCTTAAAATGTATTAATTTAGGATGTGAATTGCTTGTCTTAATATTGCTTATGTCATTTCATGTATATATATTGACTGAGTGACTTTAACTTGACCTTTGTTCTACTTTTCAAAGGTTAGGTTTATCATTAACGTGTAGCTTTTAAATTGTGAGAGATGATATACTACTAGTATGTTCAGTCAGTACATATATTGCAAAAAGTACTTATGGACAAGACCCACCAGCCCACCCCTCGATGTACATCAGGAAGAGATGACCACCCTCTTCGTGGATCTCTGGGGAGAAGAAAAGATAGGGTGGTAGGAAGGGGTAAGGAGAAGTAGACGTTGGGGGAGAAGATGGGGGAACACAGGGGAAATATTTTTCTTGTAAAAATTATGTTTCTCTTGGAGGATATTCGTCTTTTATTTCGAAGTCAAGAAATGGATTTTTTTTCAATGAGGTGTATGAGAGGAAATGCCTGAGAGCATGTATACATGTATGTATACAAGATCAAAGGGTGGGGTGTCTTTTTCAACAATCACAATACTACAAATTGTCAAACACGATATGTCATGACACCCTTTATTAATTTAAATTCAATAATAATGGAATCTAGGGTGTGAAAGTGTATATCTACATGGATTGAAAATACAACTAGTTTACATTTGACCAACTATCAGATCTATATGTAGATTCATATGGTATTTTTTTTTACCAGGTGATAATTCTCTCTCTCTCTCTCTCTCTCTCTCTCTCTTTCTCTCTCAAAAATCTCGGTCAATATCATTATCGTTATTTGAACTTTGAAATCAGAAGTTCGATGTCTTGATTATTTATGAATCAATAACAAATTGAAAGAGTATCAAATTTATTTGAACAAAGACGAAGGAGTAATATTACCTGTGGCAAATTCGTACTAGATTTTGTTTTAACGAAGGAGTAATATTACCTGTAGCAAATTCGTACGACTAGATTTTGTTTTTGTCGGAGTTATTTCGGATTAGAACTCGTGAATAGCGGGATTCTGATAAATTATTCAGAATGCAGGAAATCCATCAAGAATTGAAGGTATAAATAAATAAATAATTTACATCATTTCCCAACGCAAAGTTGCCGACGAAATGTGCTGAAATTAATTTATTGATGTCCCCTAAGTGCATTTCTTCTTCTATATATACAATATCAATTTACAACGATTGAAAGAAGTAAATTATTGCAAGCATATATTCTCTCTCTCTTACTTTTTTGGGGCAGTATTTTTTTCTCAAAAGAACAACTCTCTCTCTCTCTCTCTCTCTCTCTCTCTCCATTTACTTTGTTTCAAGTAGGTGATAAGACTTATAAAAGGACAAATTAAATTTAGATTGAAGAGATTGATAGCACGCCAGCAACATATAAAACTAACAATACCGATCTATTTTTTTTAATAATTACCCTGAGTAGGTTTAAATAAATGAGACCTTTTGTATTTATACCAAAACAGGTAAATTGAAAAATTAAATTGTGATATCTATACCAAAACATTCTACTGCTTATCAAAAATCATCCAACTTATTTCAATAGAGCTGAGTTTGGCTTGTAAGACACGTGCGGATCCAGGTTTTTTTTTCTAAAGGAGGGGGGGGGGGGACGTCCCAGTCAAAAAATTTCCATCCCAGAAATTTCTTGACTAGCAATAAAAAAAAAACCCATCAAAAAACAAAACAAAAACAAAACAAAGCATAAACTCATTTTTCCCAAACGTGAAAAACTTATTTCTTAGCAGGGGTCAATGTTTTCTTGGGGGAGGAGGGGGTTTCCAAAGTCATTTTTTTTTATTTGCTTCAGTGTATACATTTAATAACTCTGCAAAACCAGGGGGTCCGAATCCCCCGACCCCCTCTAGATCCGCGCATGTGAGTCTAATTAAATTTCTTACATTAATAAAAAGTTGAGTGTGAGATTTCTTTCAATGGAAAAGGAGAGGGTTACACTTTTTTGTTGCAAAATTATATACAATGTACATGTATGTAGGAGTGCATGTACAAGTATACAATAAGAAAAAAATTAAATCCTCGAGTAAAGGTGAGGCTTTTTGTAAAATATGAAGTTCCCCCTTGGATTTCTATGATTTAAAAAAAAAATCAAGAACGGGTTCCTTATGCCGAATTTCCTTTGACATTGGAACTGATAGACATCATTTACATTCATGGGGCGCAGGAGGGCGTTGTCATATTGTAATTTTTTTATTTACCTGGTGGTGGTGAATACAAAAATTACAATTTTTCATTTTGTAATTTTTGAATTAATTTACTAACCACCCGGTAAACTCAAAAATGACAATATGACAGTGTACCCCGAATTTATTAAAATTATTTCTTGAGTATTGAGGATACTCGTTCCATTCCACTTTTCTTCAAGGAATAAAACATGTATTCTTCACTTCTATATTGTTGTTC